CCATGGAACCCACAGACGAAGACAGAAACGAGCCAACTCAGCATGTCTGCGTGAGGGGCGAGATCTCCAAGACAAATGAGAGTGTTTTACTGCTGACAGAAGAAGCTCTACTTATTATTTGTGTCTCCGGGCATAAAGAAATTGAGGAAAGGGGGATTAAAAACCCTGCCCCGTGTGAGGGTCAAACTCACGGCCTTCAGACTATGAGACTGACGCGCTGCCTACTGCGCCAACGAGGCACAAAGGCTTCTCTGTGTACATATTTCCAGCGTAGGAGTTCAAGTTGCAGTGTAGGAGTTCAAGTTGCCACGAAGTAAAGAGCAGCACGGGGTACGGCGATTTATAAACGGATAACCCAAAGGGCTTCTTCAGGGACTTTACACAGCGCCCCTCTGCCTTGACAAGTAAACCCCCTATTGATCTTTCAGTGACTATTACATCTACCATCAATGTCCAAATTGATGTTTTGGCTTGTTTTCTGTTGCCTTTTGTCCTCAATGAATTATTACAATGAAAGGTTTTAGGATTGCCCTTTTCTGTGCTTGGTCGGCCTAAAGGACTGAATGAAGTGGTGCAATGGCAAGTGGACAGGTTCTTTGATATTTGATATGACTCTTCTCCATGGCAAGTCTTGTACTTTTCACGGAGCAAAGCAGACTTGCAGGTAAGAATTCTGCCCAAAGAGTCCAAATTTCCCCACCAAAAACAGCTGACAGGAAGGTTCCACCGAGACTTGAACTCGGATTACTGGATTCAGAGTCCAGAGTGCTGACCATTACACCATGGAACCCACGGATGAAGACAAAAACGAGCCAACTCACCAGGTCTGCGTGAGGGGCGAGATCTCCAAGACAAATGAGAGTGTTTTACTGCTGACAGAAGAAGCTCTACTTATTATTTGTGTCTCCGGGCATAAAGAAATTGAGGAAAGGGGGATTAAAAACCCTGCCCCGTGTGAGGGTCGAACTCACGGCCTTCAGATTATGAGACTGACGCGCTGCCTACTGCGCCAACGAGGCACAAAGGCTTCTCTGTGTACATATTTCCAGCGTAGGAGTTCAAGTTGCAGTGTAGGAGTTCAAGTTGCCACGAAGTAAAGAGCAGCACGGGGTACGGCGATTTATAAACGGATAACCCAAAGGGCTTCTTCAGGGACTTTACACAGCGCCCCTCTGCCTTGACAAGTAAACCCCCTATTGATCTTTCAGTGACTATTACATCTACCATCAATGTCCAAATTGATGTTTTGGCTTGTTTTCTGTGGCCTTTTGTCCTCAATGTATTATTACAATGAAAGGTTTTAGGATTGCCCTTTTCTGTGCTTGGTCGGCTTAAATGTCTGAATGAAGTGGTGCAATGGCAAGTGGACAGGTTCTTTGATATTTGATATGACTCTTCTCCATGGCAAGTCTTGTACTTTTCACGGAGCAAAGCAGACTTGCAGGTAAGAATTCTGCCCAAAGAGTCCAAATTTCCCCACCCAAAACAGCTGACAGGAAGGTTCCACCGAGACTTGAACTCGGATTACTGGATTCAGAGTCCAGAGTGCTGACCATTACACCATGGAACCCACGGATGAAGACAAAAACGAGCCATCTCACCAGGTCTGCGTGAGGGGCGAGATCTCCAAGACAAATGAGAGTGTTTTACTGCTGACAGAAGAAGCTCTACTTATTATTTGTGTCTCCGGGCATAAAGAAATTGAGGAAAGGGGGATTAAAAACCCTGCCCCGTGTGAGGGTCGAACTCACGGCCTTCAGATTATGAGACTGACGCGCTGCCTACTGCGCCAACGAGGCACAAAGGCTTCTCTGTGTACATATTTCCAGCGTAGGAGTTCAAGTTGCAGTGTAGGAGTTCAAGTTGCCACGAAGTAAAGAGCAGCACGGGGTACGGCGATTTATAAACGGATAACCCAAAGGGCTTCTTCAGGGACTTTACACAGCGCCCCTCTGCCTTGACAAGTAAACCCCCTATTGATCTTTCAGTGACTATTACATCTACCATCAATGTCCAAATTGATGTTTTGGCTTGTTTTCTGTTGCCTTTTGTCCTCAATGAATTATTACAATGAAAGGTTTTAGGATTGCCTTTTTCTGTGCTTGGTCGTCCTAAAGGACTGAATGAAGTGGTGCAATGGCAAGTGGACAGGTTCTTTGATATTTGATATGACTCTTCTCCATGGCAAGTCTTGTACTTTTCACGGAGCAAAGCAGACTTGCAGGTAAGAATTCTGCCCAAAGAGTCCAAATTTCCCCACCCAAAACAGCTGACAGGAAGGTTCCACCGAGACTTGAACTCGGATTACTGGATTCAGAGTCCAGAGTGCTGACCATTACACCATGGAAGCCACGGATGAAGACAAAAACGAGCCAACTCACCAGGTCTGCGTGAGAGGCGAGATCTCCAAGACAAATGAGAGTGTTTTACTGCTGACAGAAGAAGCTCTACTTATTATTTGTGTCTCCGGGCATAAAGAAATTGAGGAAAGGGGGATTAAAAAGCCTGCCCCGTGTGAGGGTTGAACTCACGGCCTTCCGATTATGAAACTGA